ACTGGAACTCACTGGAACAAAATTAAATGGGGATTAGTGTCTAAAACAGACAACTGCGTCAGGAAAGCTTACCCTAAGACTTGTCAGGTAATCATTTATGTCGTTTTCCCTACACTAATATAAGAGGTGCTAGGAATGGCTTTGAAGTAGAGAAAAAAAGCCCTTCTTGGGGCCTCTGCTATGAAGACATGTACCTAAACTGTATCTTGACTTCAGACTCTAATGAGTGAAAGAAAATAGGGACTGTTATTTGTGTGATGAGGACAGATGCTCAGTAGTCAAAATGATCAGTTTTGCACTGTAGCAAGCAGGTCTCTGCACCTTCTAAAGGCTCAGTGAAAATCTTTCAAGTCACAGAAAACAGAGGCAGTAGCACAAACATCAGGCTCTGAGCTGGGCAATGCAGCTCAAGAGCAGATATTACCACATGGGCTTGTCTCAAGAGGAAGTTATGATAATACAGAGAAGTAGACTATTGTAAGGAACACAAAAACCATTTTATGGTTTTTGTGTTCCTTACAATAGTCTACTTCTGCACCATTTAACCTTTCTAAACCATTTAACCATTTTTTAAAAGCCATTTATTCCTAGACAGTAATCTGTAGTTATGCTGCCATCTTCTTAACTTAAAATTTTCAGACTGTGAGCATCTGCTTACAGTGCCTAAGTTCCAGATCTCACTCCGCCTCCAACTGGCTGACAAAATGAGAAGCACTCTTACGAAGAAAATGCTCAATTCTTCAATGCAAAATTATTAAAATTGTAGAGAGCGCCCTCATACATGTGAGGGGGTAAAGAAGTTGTCATTATTCTGTAATGAAGTCTTCTGAAAATATAGATGCTACCAGTTTATTTTAAGCACAAATGCCACCTATGTATTTAATCATGTTGAAATCCTTAAGAGGAACACAGAAATACTTTGATCTCAGCTTTCAAAACAGTATGAGGAAAACCATTGTAACAACACCTGAAAATTTAAAATAAAACTGCTGAATCATGTTTTTCACCATGATTCCTGATTAACTACAGTAATTCGGAAGAATCTGATTTTTAAAATTTGTTGAGAATTAGCTCTGAATTTAAAGTAAAAACCCATTAAAAAATAAAAGCAGATTTAATAATTTGTTCCAAATTGGTTTACTATCAGTGAAACCTCTCATTTATAAGTCAATACATGCAGAGAAGAACTTACAACACGTATTGGGTCTTAGGGGCTGTTCTTCTGATTAAAAAAGATGCATAAGGATGGAAAGTAAGACTGAACAGCCTTCAGGCCTGAAGGGCTGGCACAGAAAGCTCACACAGCAATGTCCAAGTTCATGCCCAAGGATGAAATCACAAAGCTGTAAATAAAGAGGTTTTGGTCATCTCACCTAAATTTGAGCCAGACTGGGCCCAACCCCAGGACACAGCCACACCACTAAAGTAGCTTCACGTGATTTGTTATGGTTTCATAGACTCCATATCCATGGTATCAGAGCTACCCCCACTTTATTCCAGGAACATCTTTATTATGTCATTGTGGCTTCGTGAGTAATTAACACTGCGAAGCTGTAAGTACTCTTCTTAGTTAATGAGAATTTCACTTTTGAAAGCCATCAATTTCGTATGTCTTCTGATCAACAAATGTACTTCACATTCCCAAAAGTTCCTGAGGAGAGTGTTACACTTTCAGAAGCACTTGTAAGTAATACACAAGTAAGACTTTACATTACTTTCCCTACCACCATCACCTCAAGATAACAGGTGACTTGGGCTGTTACATACAAGAGAAGTATATTTACAAATGCAATACCTGGTTGCTCTGAATGAAATCTTTAATCAGTGTCTTCACCACTACGAGGGGAAAAAAAATACAGAAACAAACAAAAAAAACCTCCCCCTAAATAAAAACCAGGAAAAACCACCAAGAAAAATCCCTCCCCACCCAAAAAAAAGTCCAACCAAAATACCTAACCCCAAACAACAACAACAAAACAGGAACAAAACAAGCAAAACAACAAAACGGGAACAAACAAACAACCTTCAAATTACTATTTTTTTTCCATAAACACATTACAAAATTAAAATAGAAGCCATGCTAGCAAAAATCCAGATGGCTAACAGAGTATGATGCTACCTACAGGGCATCATTTATAATTTTTTTTTTCCTCATTGACATGCCCCTGTTTTCCTATGCAGGTGGGGAACCAACTTATCTTCAAAAACAGGAAGGAACAATTCTATTTCTAGATGAGAATATGAAAACAATACTGTGGAGGTTAAAATCAGACATCACTTTATCAGGTTATGATTTAGAATATTCAATTATGATAGCCAAGTTAAATATTTTCTATTGCTTTACATGGCAGCTGAAAAAAGTAAACTAAAGCATCATTCCTGAACATTTAGTTGTGAATTTACTATCCACTTCCCTATGATCAACTGCACACAAACACACACTTTTCTAATATTAATAGTAATAAAAAATTCTTCCCAATGAAGCACATTGTGGAGGAGGAACATAGCATGAGTAACCACAGGAAGACGTAATTTTACAAACCATAGATTCTAACTTGACTGCTCTCTAGACAAGGCCCATGAATTTGCCTACATTTCTCTTGAAAAAAAAAATTCTTAAAGAGAGGGATGCAGGAAATCATCAACACTAAATATATCTATAGCAACAAATTATGTAGCATACCTCAAAATAAACAGAAATTGAAAGTCACATGTGATCAAGCAATTTCCTTGCCCATTTATATACCTCATTGTTTCTATTTCTACTATTTCAGAAGATGGTACGAGATTATTATAGTCTATTTTTTTACCCTTACTACATATCTCATTTTTGAACCTATATAGAAAATGCTTCCATCGAAAATAATAAGTATAATATAGAAGAGATAAAGAACAGAATTGTACTTTACATCCCCTGGGTAAGATTAACATTCAGTTGTCTGGCAGCATCTGTTTGGCAGACAAGTACTTGAGTTTCTCAACAGTTTGAACAGGCTGAGCGATGGAGACCACCTCATGCCAGTGAAGTGCTCTAGTACTTTTCGTGATCCCAACAGCTACACAAACACCTGAGATCTGTGCACTGCAGAAATTATCTGGTACCAAACACTGCACAAATGATTAACTACATCCTGCACCCACCATAACTTTCAAGACATAAAATTTTTGCTGCACTATGCGGCAGGAATCAAATCAAGCATGAGAAATCATGCACCTTCACACAGTAGCCCACAAAATGCTGACCATAGAACCATGTGAAACAAAAGTCATGTATGCTGGAAAGCTACAAAGCTTATTGAAGACTTTAATGTATCACCTCAGAGTCAATTTCAGTGTATAGTGCACTGTGATCCACCTCTAACTTATAGATCTCTGCCAGAAGATGTATCTAACATGATGAGCTTTAGATTTCATTACAGGTTAGCCAAACATTTACTTTCACCATTAGAAACACGAGTCTCTTCTTTTGCAGCATCCTTTACTGGTAAAGAAAAAGCAACATTCCTTTTAAGAGGCTGCATGTACATAGCTGGACTGCAACCTATTCTTCTGCTGACTTATGCAAAGGGTAGGTATTCATTTCAGGAAGGAAAGCAGTAAAGAGCTTACAGGTTTTGAAAATGGAAATAGTGTAAGTACTCCTCCTGCAGCGCTAACATTTCACAGGAATCAGTGGTTTCCCAAAGCCCAACTGCGATACCATAATGACTGAAAGATGGTATCCGAATTTCGCATATGGATAAGGAAATTCAAGGTACTGCCTCACACCTCGTAGCTTTATAAAGACACAAGTCGCAGCACTGAGAAGGCTGCTGGGGAACAGCTTTCCACCTGTTCCATGGAGGCAGAACACTGCTGACCCTACACCCAGAGTCATACGTGCTCCTTATCCACAGAGTGCAGCACTTCCTCCAAAACACAGTGCTTTATACTCATGAATTCTGCGCGTCACTCGGTGAACTGGAGACCTCTTCTAACAGTGCTGCTGCTCTTTTCCCTACACGTCCCATTACACCTTACACAGGCAAAGGCGGGAGGTCGGAAAACTGATTCTGGAATAATTTCTCTTTTTGCTTCGGGTCGTTTTCTCCAGCACTGTCGCTTTTTGGTTTTTTTTTTTACAAAAAAGCGCCGGCTTTCCTCGCCCCCACCCAGCCCCTCGCCAGGGCGGCGACTGAACCCCCTGGGCCGGACTGCCTCGGGGCAGCGGCCGGGATGCGGTGCCTGGGGCAGGGGGGATGGAGCGGCTGCGGCCGGCAGGGAGCGGTTGGGGCGGTTGGGAAGCGGGGACGGAGCGGTTGGGGCGGTTGGGAAGGACAGGGATGGGGCGGTTGGGGCGGTTGGGAAGCGGCAGGGACACGCAGGGATGGGGCGGTTGGGAAGCAGGGACAGGGCGCGGTACCGCCGGTACAAGCGGCCGAGGAAGGACCCAGCAGGACAGGGAGGGACAGGCGGCGGCCGCGGCGCCAGCACTCACCGAAGAGGCTGCTGCTGAAGCCGTCCCAGACGCAGCCGGCGGCGTCCCACACCCAGCGGCTCCTCAGGCAGGACATAAAGGTAAGGCTCACGCCGAAGACGGATACCAGCAGGTCGCTGAGGCTGATGTTGACGAGGAAGAGGTTGGTGGGCGTGCGGAGCCGCTTGAACTTGTAGTAGAGCACCAGCACCAGCAAGTTGTTGCACAAGCCCAGCATGCCGATGGTGGCGACCAGGAGCGCCAGCAGCTCGTAGGTAGCGGCGCTGAAGAGGGGCCGCTCGCCCGGCACCTCCGGCTCGGGCGCCGCGGGCTCCGGGCGGCTGGAGGTGCCCGTGCCGTTCGCCGCCGGCATGGCTCCCGGCCGGAGCGGGGCTAAGGCTCCCGGCTCGCTCCCAGCCCCATCGCACGCCGATGCTCCGGGCAGGAGGAGGAGTCCCCGCGGCCTTCCCGCCCAAGGAGGGCGCGCCCTCGAGTGGCTTCGCCCTCGCCTGCCCCGGGGCGTGCCCGGCCCGGGCATGGCTCCTCCTGAGCAAACAGGTCTTGTTGCCCTGTTGCCGCGGTGAGCGGCCCGGTTGTAGCCGGGATGTGGCTGTTGTTTCCTCTTCCTTAAAAATCCTCTATGCGCTTTGGCTGGGCCACGGCTGCCGCCAGCAGCGCTTCCCTCACGGGGACCGCGTTCGGACAGACCTGCTCCGCCGCCAGCTCCGGGAAGAGGTACAACCGATACTTAGGCTTATTCCCCAAATGTCCTGCCAATGAAAACTCCTATTATGGCAATAGTGTCTGATCAGGAGATTCCCCGCAGTGCTCACAGCTTATCTCTAGGAGCTGGAACCCACAAAGCGACCCAGCACCACCATGGCCCGTGCTAACCTGTGGTGGGAACGAACACTGTGTCAGCCATGGGCAAGTAAGACACCCCGGTTTGCACCGTGAAGGCGCCTGTTTTATACCTGTGTCTCCAGTGGGTGTTGTACAGGAATACAGTGGCTGCCTGTGTGCAGCTCTGGCTGCTGTTGGGCACGGTGTTCCCTGAGCCCCAGCTGTGTTAGAGTGTCTCCGAACCCAACCCACCCCGGCGTGTTTCACAGGGAATTTTGCTCACCATGGTCCTACACCCAAAACACCTTGCCAGACCAAGCATTGGCTTTCCTCATGGGAAGACCTCTTTGTTTGCTTTAATATGTGTTGATATGTGACAGCCTTCTTAAGGGCCCAAAGAAAATTTTCAGTTTAGGTCTATTCTTACTCTAGTTAAAAAAAAATCAGCTGTGAAAGCAGCAGAATTTTAATGTTTTAGTGGATACATGTCTTGTCAAAAAATAGCTTTTTTTTTCTCTTATACACAGTGGTATTAAATGGTCTAGATTAAGTGTGAACTGAGACTGAAAACATGGATAGTTGAGGAGGGTTTGATGTGTTTCAAAACAAACCTATATACAAATTATGGGCTTTTCATGGCAATAAATTTTATATGACAAATTACTGCTGTAATACAAGGCAGTAGGAATAACGTCATAGGTCAGAAAAATTAAACACTTAGGTGTTACTTAGGTTAAAGTACCTATTCATATTAAAGTTAACTTTATTTATTATCCATGTTGTTAAATCTCCCATATATTGATGTAATCAGTAATTGAAAGTTACTTTATAAAGGTAGTTCAGACTGTTTCTTCATCACTGATCAACAGGGCTTTTCTCACTGCAAAAGAAGGAGCAGCTTCCTTTCTCAAAATCAATTATATGTTTTTACCATAAAAGCTGTATTTACAGAACACATGACCTTCCAAAATTTCTACTGTAGTAATAGACCACGGTACTTGAGCATCAGTTTTAGGGAAGACATAATTTTGTCTTTCCTCATCCACAAAAGAAATTAACCTGTACATGACAGACCATGTGCAAAATTATTATGTCAGTGCACAGTTATGGGTTTGTCACTGCATTCTAAAAGTCTAACAATGACATGACTGTATCAAATTAATGCTACACCTCATTGAGAACAAGACATCTCTATCTTCTGCCTCCTAAGGAATCTCCTAAATTGTGTATCTTTTTATCCCTGCAAAATGAAAGGAGAGAGAGAAAAGGTGGTAAGAAGAATGGGAAAAATTTAATGTAGTGATTAGTACATTCCAGATAACATAGTGTTCATTGGCAGATTCCATTATACACTCAGGGTTTCTAAGAGGTATTTCACTAGAGCACCTGTCAGAAATATTCCCTCTAGATGTCTTTGAATTTATGGAAGGTAAGAGAACCCATAACTTGCATTTTATAAAGATCATATCTCAGAAAGTCTGGTTTGGGCTTTTTTGTAGCAAAGCTAAATAGATCCATAGATGTGCAATCTCTCCAATGCTTTATTTGCAAAGGTCACTGTATTAATACTGTCGAATTGCTAACGTTATTCAAGTGATCTTGAAACTTCATGAGCAGAGTTCCATTTGTTTTCCATGCAGTGTCACTACTCATATGAGGCACAACAAAAAGAAATGTTGTTTTATTGTATCATTAGGTCAAAAGCAAAGCTGGAAACGGGACCTTGACTCCAATTCTAGTGTAGATTCTGTTTTACCTAGCCCACTCTAGGACCAATGCAGCTATGGTTTTAATAATCTACTTAATTCTTAGTCAGTCCTCTTCTGCTGCAAAAAAGGGTTTTACCTTTATTTTTACCATTGCATGAAAGGATAGACCAGAACCCTAGACGTGTATGTGTGTGACTTACTGGAAGTGCCTCAAAGTACTAAACATCTGTGTAGCTGAGCTCACGGGATACGTACAACAAGAAGCAGGAATAGAGGGTCCCCAGTCCTGTACTACAAAAACAGTCTCTGAAACTCCCAAGGACTTCCTAGATCTCTTCTGCAACAGTCCTTTTAACGTGTTGTCTGTTATGCACAATTTACATGGGGTAGGGGAATGCATTGGCCGTAAATTTTCAGGTGGCCAGCACATGCTTACTTACATATGCACGAGACAAACTTTAAAACCCAGCCTAGGAACTAATAATTCACAAGTGGAAAGTTTGCAGATGTCTGGTGCTGTCTGCAAAAGTTTATAGTATTTAGTAATTTGGAATGCTTCAGCACACAAGAGCATTGAGTGTCACGTGTTAGAGCTGAAGATTCTGAAGCACAGTAAATAAATTTTCAGTCTCTGCTACTCTCTACGCTTGGGGAGAAATACAAACCATGAATGTGACTCCCAGTTGTAACTGCACCATTAAAAATGTCTGGCCTTTTGCAGTGAGAACATTGTGGAGTGGAAAAAGAGTGCTTTAAGGCATTCAAGAGACCTGATTCATTTTATGTTCACTGACTTGTGTGTTGCTTTCACTCATTTTCTCTGTTCTCTGTCTTTTGCTAGTGTGCCTTTGAAGTCACATACTCTTTCCTATCTTTCCTGACAAGGAGAGAGTGAGCAGAAAAGTCAGGCTTTTTTCTGTATTAAATACATTTGTTCTAGGAATCAGGTAATACTGAGGTTTTCATGCCTGTTTTGAATTTTGTAAGCTTATTATTTCTAAGGTCATGGTATAGACCCAGAATGCAGGCTGCTCAAAACCAAACAAAACCAAACCAAAACTTCCCAAAAACTCTGGCTAGCTAGCTTCAGATTTTTTTTGTTTTGTTTTGTTTTCTACAGTATTCTCCTGGCATATTTTTTTCTTACATGTTGTTTTTGCTATTCTTTAGTGTTAGAGACATATGAAAGCTGAGTGATTATTTACTGTACCTATATATAGCTGCAGGGTATGTCCACAGGGCAAGTGTAAGTGTGGACAGAAGAAATCTTCCATCTGTTGTCAACCTCTTGGCATTAAAATGAGGCTTTTAATATAGATCTACACTTGTTGATAATGCAATTTTTTCAGTAAAAAAACCCCAAAATGCATAACCCTAATGGCAAAGCTTTAAAGCTAGGGCTTCGTCTTGCAGAACTTGTAATCCTACTTGTATAATCTAGTCCATATTGGTATGTGAACTTTAAATCATAAAGCAGTTATGGTGCTAATGTTGCAAGATTGTGAGAATATTCTGGGCTGAGAGGAGTGCTTGGCTCAGACACGGCTCACGGAAGCCAGCACAGGTGCTTTCAGTGGGGGAAAGGGACACAAGCAGGCTGTCCTGGGAGGTGGTGGCGAGCAGAGCATCTGTGCTGCAGTTGGAAGTTGGCTGCAGCCTGTTCTGTGATGTGTGAGCTCTGGTATACCTGACATGTGTACAAAGTGCTGTACTAGATGCAGCTGTGAGTCAGCTCACCTAAATGATCAATTTGAAAGTTAAGTGCATAGGACCAGTAAGATGAATCACCCTCTGGAATTTTTTATTGACTGGCACATAAGATGACTGGAGTAATTAACTTTTAGATTCCTAAGTTAGATGAGATGAACTTCATCTTGTCTAGAGAAACCTTTGTGGGACTGTGCTATGTGTTTAGGAGGCAGATGCATATTGATGCTTCTGTGGCACTTGTTTCTTGCAGACTAGATGAAAAGGGGTGGTGACACATGCTTGTGCCTGCTGACATCATGATGTCCTTGGTTGTACAGACACATCTCACTGGGCAGGCTGAACTCTAAACTAGCGCAGTATAACCATTGTAAGACCAGCAACACCAGTGTTTGCAACAACAACACTTTTAAATTTATTTGTGATATAAACTTTTTTTCTAAGGAAAAACTACCTTGCATAGTAGTTCATTCTTATGCTGCAGCTTCTTGTTAGTGTGACAAATATAGAGTGACAAACATAAAGTGTTTACAACCTCACTGCCTTGTTGTCATTTTCCAGAGCCCAACAAACAAATCAATATATAGTTCATAGGAAATACAATTTTTAAAACTATTGCTTGGTCATTTCAGCCACTGTTAGTGACAGAGATGAGCAGATGCACTTTATAGCAAGGAGCACTTGTGGGGTGTTAATATTGAAAGAAAAGTGAAAAATTGAGCCAGTAGAAAAAAAGAATGAGCTAATGCAAATGTCAATATAATAGCACCCCTAAACACTGTTCCACAGAAGAAATTTAATTTTGACAGTGCTAACATTTATTACTCTCCCAGCCTTATACTGGTCAGAGAATTCAGTCAGTCTGAACTGAAGCATCTCTATCCTGATTCAACTTCAACACAGCCAAGTTTACAGGATGTTTATAAAGAGATAGCAAAGGATGGATAAGTTATTAAAGAAATCATCTTCAGGGGCTGATTTTTTTTTTCCTTTTTAAATGACTGGACTTGACCAAAATCGAGTCAGAAACAGTCTTTTATGTCGCAGAGCCTCTTTAGAGACAACTAAGACCAGTTTAGATCTGCTGTGTGATCGACTTCAGGCTGTTCTGAATCATCATTTTACTTGGGGAGAATTTGCTTTTACATAAGACCACTAGGAAGAGTGACTGGCAGCCTGGTACAGGCAGGAACAAAGATCTATCACCTTTGCTGTTTGTCTTCTTCAGTAGGTTTGGGTTATTTGTTATGGGCCGTCCAATTAAATGGTCAGAATTTTAAAACTTGCATGGCATTTCATAGACTTATGGTAGTTATTGAGATAAAGATTGAAAATTACTGATTTTTCAAATGAGGTGCCAATCCTACAAGGAACTTGCTGCAGCTGTTCTTTGCACACATACAGACATATTATTATCTTTGTATCTGAGAATTTCCAATAACTGAGACTGATACTATTATGTGGTAAGATGAGTTGAGAGAGTCAGCTCCTGAATATACATCAATTATATCATATTCCATATCCAGTGCTTTCCACACTATCAGTAAGAGGGACAGTGAAGGAAATGCTTTTCCTTCAGTTAATGCTACTGTAGAGCTACTAATGCAAGGACTTCCTGACTCATCAATTAAATATTGAATTTGCCTTTTAGACTTTGCTTATCTTCTAATGCAATTCCTATCTTCTATGCTTTGTTTTTTCAGTCCACTCAGTCATCACATCTTATTTTTAAATTCTACTGTACTTTTTTTATTTTATTTTAAACATTGCAGACAACAGAATCAACTGGTACTGAAAGCAATGATTCCTCATTTGGGGTTTCTTTGTGTTTTCATTATGTTTCATAACATGAAGTTTCCACATGGGTTTTTGCAAGATAACAAAACATAGATTTCTGTTCTAAGCTTCTCTGTTCTGAGGGTGGATGCTAAATACACTTTATGAACGTTAAACCACTGATAGTGACTTGGAAATGAGAATATAACTTGATGTCGTACAAGCTTAGATGAGAGAGACTGGAAAGATTAATCAACACGAAGCACTGCATAAAAAGACTTCAGCTGGAGGCAGTATGTCAAATACACAACTCTAACCAAGATACAGTATCTGACCATCCACTGAGTGCCTTGACACACAAAGGAAATATTTTCCTGGAGAATTACTGTTGGAACAGCAAAAATGTATCCTCAAGCTATCCCTCTCTTTTCCAGGCATCATTATGTCTTTTCTCTGCCAAGCTCTTTTCCTTATTCTAATCAAAAGAAATGCTTATTGCAGTAGAGCAGAAGTACCCATAAACTTTTGGGTTCTTCCCCTTGAAATGATAGAATTCCAGGCTGTTGGATTACTCGTGTTAGGTAGCATATCCTGAGACACCACTTTCCCTGAAGAACTAGCTATTTCATGCAGAGATATTTCCATTATTTTTAGTAATTATTTAATACCAATTAGTTGCTTTCCCTGTGTGTTTCAAAAATGTCATTTAGCTGATATGCTGAGTTTGTGTGAAGACTACTGCCTTTATTTGTTTTGGTTTTTGGAAGGAATAACTGGAATATTCTTGAAACGTGCCTGATATCAATTCTCTAGATTGCCATGAGGAAATATAAAATATAATTTCTCCTTTTCAACTACAGGTTCTCCACAGAGCTAGAACTCCACGCTCAGGAATCCAAGAGGGCCTTATCCAGTAAACCTGGCATCAGCCTTGGGTGAAGTAATAGCAAAGTGGATCTGGGGATCAGTAGCTAAAGAACAATACAAAGAAATTGATCAGTGTCATCTACAGAAAAGTGAGTTTAACAGATACTCCAAAATTCACCATTTGCCTATGCTGGTATAGCTCAGCAACATGACATCAATACTCTTTAAAGATATTGAAAGTATGAAAAATGTGCATAAGAATCACAATTATATTGAAACCTAAAGGAATGGAGAAATATTCCAGGTAAAAAGACCCCTAGTACGAGAATGTACCAACTAAATTAGTGAAGATATTACAAGAACTGCTGAAAGGAAGCATAAGCCACACAAAGAGGCTTAAATTTTAACAGTTTGTGCAATTATACTTTGAAACAAACATGTTGGATTCTCCATATTTTTGTGTCTGAAGATCAACACTTGACACTACTACAAGTCATACTTTAGAACAAAGTTTTGTACTCAGTGTAGTGATAAATGGCTGATATTTATTGATCTATAAAATAAAGGAGGTGAAAGGAGAGCTAAAGGTCAGATTTATTCATGCAATTAATACATGCTCAATGCTCTCCACCTCTTCAGCTCTCTCCCCAAATAAACATTTGGAAAAATGTTACTAAACGCCTGAGGGGAAATGCCTCTCTGGAGACGCTAAAAAAACACCTGGATGTGTTCCTGTGTCACCTGCTCTAAGTGACCCTGCCTTGGCAGTGAGGTTGGCCTGTATGATCTCCAGAGGTCCCTTCCAACCATAATTATTCTGTGAAGAAAAGCATGAATTCTTTCTTTCACCAATTACATGAGATACAATGAAACAATCTCACATGCCAGGTTACTTAGTGATCCTGGTTCATAACCTGGGGACACTCAGTGTGTAGGATTCTGTGAAGTGATGGGATGTTGTGACATCCATAGTTCACTACCCTGTTTGCCAGCTTGAGATGCTAAGCTAGGGTCTCCTCTTTTTTATTATGTAATGTTTGGTATACCTTTCACGCAGCTGCATCTCACTTGAACTCATGTGGGAGTTAAGGAGCAAAGCAAGGCTTGGACATGGCTGTAAGAAGATCTCTCTCTTGTCTTCTGTTCATAAAGGATGTCTGGAAAGAAAGGTCGTGATAAGGAGGGTTGCTTTGCCCTTGAATCGATTGATTTCAAGAATGCTTTGGAGCAGTTCCAGAATCTAGTTGAAAAAATGATCATCCAGAAGACCAAGGAGAGTTCAGGCTTGTATACTAAAGATGATGGTAAGAGATACTAATTCAGATGGTAAAGTGTAATTTTCACATGGAGAGAGCATATCATAGAGAAATTATAATTTCCTTCAAATTAGTGTTCTAACTGTAACTGTTTGATTTTTACAGGAAATAGAGAGATTGTGCTGTGAAAGTTCTTTTCTCCTCCTGTTAGGATTTCTGGACAAATTATAAGGCTATGGTGATCACTCAGTAAATATAATTAGTGGAGTTGCCACATATAGAAGTTAGCATGATGCTAACTTGTTTCTGTAAAAACACAAACTTGATAAATTATGTAATTACAGTAACTAATTGTAAATAATGAGGGTAAAATTTTGCTTTTCTCAATGCAAGTGGTTATTGCTGCTTAAAAGGATAAACTTTATCTCACACACCGTTCAGGTGCAAAAAACAAAATCAGAATTATGGTAAGTAAGGGAAGAAAAAAGAATTTTTTATCTATTATTTTATCTGTTTTCTGTCATGGATTGAAAATTAGGTAGTTTTGAAAAGAGCAAATATTAGGACTAATTTTTTTTCTTTTCAAATGCTTTAGTGAATACAATGTGAGCAGCTGGAACTTCTGTGCTATTGGTATTGAAGGAGAAATAAAACTGGAAGTAGGGTGGATAAGAAAGGAATCTGTAGCTTCCCAGTTTTAAACTGTGTGGACATTGTTCCTCCCATACAGATGAGATAAATTATGAAAAGTTCTATAAAACCACACGAACGCTTTTTGGTTCAGCAGTCAAGGATCAGGATATTCAGGCCTTTTTCAGGAAGATTATAAGCAACCCTGATGAAAGGCCAGAATGGCTTGAGGTAAGGATTTTTAAAGTTTTCTTAAGTATGAAAAACTAATTAGAATTTTAAATGATGGCAGTATTTGACTATTGATTGTGTCTTGTTCACATGACTGTTGTTCATGAGCTCCCAGGCAGAATGAGGCACTCTCTTGTTACTTATCCTAGCTGCCTGAAGCCTGTGTGTGTTCAGTCTTCAGAACTACTTTGGTGATGTGCATCGTCCTCAGGCTTCTTGGCAAAATGCAAAATCTCTTATGATGACAGTATGCCATTTGTGCTCTGAGGATAAGTCTATCTTTGGCTAAACCTTCAGAAATGCTTCCTCTTTTTTCTCCTTTCCTCTCTTTTCTCTTACCTCTGCTTCCTTGCCTTTCTCTTCCCCTGTTCACAGCATAAATCTGGCCCTTACTTTGAATATGAAGCATAAAAGATAGGGCAGCACTTCAGTAGAGTTTTTGAGCTAGAGAATTACGCATATATTATTTAGTCCTGTAGATTAATGAGATGTTTGTAATCAATTTTTCAGTCTCTAATATTGGTAAATAGCAAACCTTTGTAAACAGCATGTAAGAATGAGGTAACTGTGAAAGGGTAGATCCGCTTTACCCTCTTTGCATCTATCTGCACGTATATTAAGGATTTCCTCTGCCTGAGTTGCAAATGCACTCTGTGTGCACTCCCTTCCCGGATTTTTAATCTATCAATTTGTAAGTTATTTCTGAATCCACCTGAGAAGATTATCTCCATAGCACCCAGTTTTTCACATTTTGTGTAAAAGTATTTTGTCAGAATTTTTTAAACATGGTGCTCTTTTTTATTTGCACATGTTTTGAGAAATGAACACCTGCTCTAGAAATGTGTCTTTTATTAAGGTATTTACCATGGATAGTGTTTCAGGTAACTGTTCTTTAAAACTACTGATTCTTAGATTGTTAGAGCCAATCCTTATCAAGAGCACCCATCATCATATATTACTACAAGACTTTTTTGGTTGTTTCTTACCCGAAGACAGAATTGTGCAGAAGGGACAAAACTCCTAGCACACAGTGACTTTCCTACAATAGCATAGGAGGCATGGTATATGTGGCAAAACCTTGCTGGACCTAAAGTGCAGCAGGGTATTAGCAAGTGACATGAACTATGAATTCATCAGCATATTTATATTTTATGTTACTCTGGAACATCGTGCTAATATTGGAACCTTGAAGATACCCAACCATCTGTTCCTTACGTTATCAACCATTGCTATCAAGTGATTTCCTGATATCATCCTAAAAACTGTATGTTCAGCCATTTCTATTTAACAAGATTCTGTATGCGAGCATTTCTGGTTACTACCTTTCTTAACCATTGTTTTTACAGTGACACATTAGTCATGGATTTTGCTCATGTCAGCCATTAAAGATTTCCTTCAAGGAGGGCTTGGGGCAAATCTGGAAAATAGCTGACAGTCTGGAGGACTGATTGTCCTTTGTTTAGGGTAGCAGAAGAGTAGCAAATTATGTTCAGGCTCCTTAGTTTATAAGAGAAATAAGGAAAGCTCTGTATGTTTGCTTGAGTGTGGATCATTTACTCCCAAAACCTTACTGAGTTTTTAATGCAGACTAGTTACCAAATTACATAATTACATAAATAATTTGGCTACATAATTACACAACCAAGCACAGTATGGGGTGTAGTAAAAGAGGTGAAGCCTCTTTAGTTTCCTTTTGAAATCTGTACATGATTTCCTTGGGATGAAATTCCCCCAAGACCATTTCTATGGGCATTTCTCAAATTCTACCAAGTGTGAGCTGACTGATGACAGTCTTTTAATATAGCTTGCCTATAAACTTTCTTGAAAAACTAGCTAATAATTGTGTATATGGAAAGGAGGTAGCTGTGAAGTGAAAGATGAAGAGTAATGCTATGTGAGAATATTTTTTTGAAAGATGTACATCTGAATCTCTCAAAGAATCAAAATAGGAGTTCTGTTGTATAAAATGGAAAATACTGAACTAGAATAAAATACAACATTTTGTCCCCCATCCAAAGGGATATTGCTTTTAGAATTCAGGAATCAAAGTATATATAATGTCCATAATTTGAGAAAGGAGTTTAAAATATCTGTACAGCTAAGTGGGACTAATTTACTAAAGAAATCACTAAACTGCTTTTGGGTACAGAGCATGAAATTTTTAGGGAATTTCAACTGAAAATTTCACACCCTGGAGTAGAAATAATGTGCATACATGACGATCTTGTGCAGAGATCTTCATCATGTTCAAATGGAACCTTGTCAGACTTAAGAGATGTCCAAAAGAGGATTTTTTAAAAATTGTCTTTATATTACATTTCTTTTCAAGCACATGGGAATCTACATATCTTTATGGAAAAGCTCTTCTGTGTTGGCTAAACCACTATGCTGCATTGAATGTCTTTGTTTATAAATACGGAGTTGTCTGTTTTGTCTGCCTTTTGCTAGTTTTGGTTTGGGGTTTTTTTCCCTAGTTGAGGTAGGTAGACCTGGAGAATGGAAATTGAATATGGTTATTTGCAAAGCAGAAATGTACTAACAACTTTAAAAAATAGATGGACTGTATTCCTAGAAGCCCTGTGTAAGCTGACTAATTTACAAACATTGAAGAAAGATTGTGCCTGAGTATCAGATCTCAGCAGTCTGAAGTCATATTGACAGCTAATGGTTAAAGGAAGTAATACTAAGATACTTACTCAAAGAATATTCAATTATAAAGTGTGAGATAACTATTTGACTTTATACATGTATCTTCAAGAAGTAGTTTTACAATGAATTACTTGTTTAGTTCTATTTTGTTTTGTTTAGATTTTTGGCTGTTTTAGCGGAGAAAGCGTTGGCATGCCTACCCCATCGAAAGAAAACATGGTTTTGCTTGTATCTGAGAAACAGCAGATTTCTCATTCAGGTGACATACTTCATCTTACATCAAAAACTATATTTTTTCTAATGCAGTGTGCTGCTCACTTTCTTGAAAGTAGGGAAATAAGACCACATGTCTGTCTTGGTCCATTCATGCTTCTTCCTCTTCTTCTTCTTCTTCTTCTTCTTCTTCTTCTTCTTCTTCTTCTTTTTCTTCTTTTTCTTCTTCTGTGTTCCAGAATTCATGCATTTTTACTAAACATTGAACACTCCACTGCTGCATTTCCCAGTTCCCCATATTCCTAAATTATTTTGACATTATGATTTTTCTGAACCAGACTGTTTATTTATGCAGTTACACATTGTCTTTCTGTATTTTTTGAAAATATGGAGGAAGATGTGGCACATCCAGAATTATTACATTCATGATATTTAAAATGCAACATGATTAATTAAACCAAGTATGGGATAATTTATGATATCTTGCATCATTGCCTTGCATATGGTGCCAAAATGCATTTCAGGAAGAGAAATTGCCCTTACTAATATAGTTCTATTTGTTTACATTTTCCTTAATAATATTGTTCTATTTGGTTATGTGTTCAGTTTCCGTAAGATGAAGAATAATGTTTTGTCATTGACAGTTGTCAAGAGAAAAGATGTGCTCAAGGGTATATTGAAGGTGCCCCTTCTGAATCTCACAGTAACAGCCTCTCAGAAAGGATTGATAACTGTGTTTAGCGAAAAGGTAATTCTAAATCAAACTCTTTTATTATTCCATTAGCAGTACATAGGAGAACTGAGTGGACTGTGATCTAGCATTCAAACTTTCCCATAAAAAAACCTACATGTCTTTCTTATCAAAGTTAAATTTTTCTATATTTTAAAGTACAGCAGGAAATATACATTGTTCTTTTCAATTATAAACCTACTAGACAGTGTGCACAAGTTGATAGAAGGTAGAGATGTCTAATAATAGACATTCTTCACAGAAATTAATTTAATAGAAAATAATCTGCATTTCTGTTTAGAAAAGGTTTCCCTAAATAAAAAAATATGCTAGTGGAATTAACTTTTAGATATAGAGTGGAAATTGGAGAATTAACTGTTTTCTACAGCTACTGAAAATATCTAGAATGGACAGAGACAGCTGTTTGCAAGTAAGATTTATTCAATACAGCAACCTCTAGAAGCTTGAAAGTCATGAGTTTCACAACAATCTGCATGACACTGGCTCACCCTTAGTTCCCTCATCAGTAAAATGTAAGGATATCTGTACCATTATTAGTAGAAATTTAGGTCTAAGATGCTGTTAAACTAAAGTTTGTACATTAATTTCCCAGATGATTGTATTACTGTTTAGTTGTATGCACCTGCAGAGGCTATGAGATAGAATGTGTCATACAGAAACCCAGGTTTTCACACATCTATGCTCATTGGTGCTTTACATTTGTACAATTTTAATGCAACCAGTTTCCTAAAATTTATTTCAGGCGATGCAGCAAAATTTTAAAGTGGCATGAATGCTTTCTAGGGGTTTTAGCTAATTGGTGCATAATGCTTATGACAGGAGCATTTAAACCAAGAAAGGACTCCTGTGGATGATTCAATAACAAAGCAGTACTGCAGTTTTGGTAAATGCTGAAATAATTTATTTGAAAGTCTGTCCTCCAGAACATTATCCCTCTTATGTACCTATGAAAAACAATTTCCAAAGTATAAGATTAAAAACATATCTCCTCCCTGCCCCCTACCTGCCCCTGCTATTTTCAAGTTGAATTGCTGCCTCCTCATAGGCTGGCCTGATGTTATCTGACATCAGTGATTGCAGTGTAAATTATTTTACACCCAGCTGCTTAACACAGTGAATTAGGGACCTCAACTCCTGTGTTCTGAAAATGACTAATCCATTATGAAAGCCCCATGATGTGCCAGGAAAGGATCAGATTGGATGTTAGGAGTAGTTTCTGTTATACAAAGAGTTGTCAGCCATTGGAACTGCCTAGGGGAGTGGTTGAGTCGCCAACCCTGGAGGTATAGATGTATAGAAGTGACTGTTGGGGACATGATCTAGTGGTAGACTTGGCAGTGTTAGTTTTACAGTTGGACTTAATAATCTTAAAGATCTTTTCCAGCCTAATTATTCTATGATTCCATATGTTTGAGGGCTAAGCAAGGCTTTCTGCAAGGAACGTGGCCCTGACTCAACACCTGTATACAGCTTTATACCATCAACTGCTTCCAGGTTACTCCAGAATATGAGACACTTACGTTGCTCAGGTTCTCAGGCAGATACTGCCTTGACCAGCACATGAGACCTGTAGGAGTGGGCAGCCTTAAGGACATATTTACTTACTGTAGATAAAGCCAAGTCTGATGCAGTACGTGGATATCCATGTCTTGGTTAACAATTCTCTTAAACACTGTTCAAAGGCTGTCCATGATGACACCTAGAATCTCACTTCCATGGGAAGAAAGACTTTGATCCTAGCTTCTTGGTTTATGAAATGCAGAATTGCTGGGATGGATACGAGGTGTTATTGAATAATTACTGATCGGGAGCAGGGGCAGGGGCAAGAGGAGGTGAAAAGTCATCTGTGGGTGTTTCAGAAGGGAAAAGGTTGAAACTGCTTTTGAAAACTTAGTAGTTTTGTTAAAGGACCTAGAAGATAACGGTGTCTCTGCTGGACAGTGGTGACACTTTAAACCCTTCAGGTTTTCAGCCACATGTTACGCTGTCTTCCAGTAGTTACCTTTGGTGAAGGTGCTGTACCAATGTGGTTATTCCTGTTTGCAGCCTGAAGTGCTGCCTCTGCCAGGCATTTTGCTGGCACTAGTTGATGTGGCCTTGGGCTAGCGTTAGCTTGGGTTCCTATATGATAAACCCATATCAGCTCACAGGAGCTGATGCTGTTTTTGCTGTCAAAAGCCATTAAAAGCACAATTCCATCAGAAGACCAGCTGATCTGTACTCTGTATGTTGTAAAAATGAGGAGTTTTTACTTATTTTCCTCACTTCAACATCTCAATGTAGAAACCCAAACCAAACCAGAAACTATGAAACAATTGTGAGAGAAAGAGAAGTTTTAAATTCCTCACAATATAAAGAGCAACAGACAGCAGGCAGGTTAAGGATATTTCTCAGATCTTAACTACCTGCTTTTTCAGTTAGCAAATATTGATCTGCCTGTGAAGAGAAGAGATGACTGTTTAGATTTTTAATTTGAGAACTACCTTGTTATTGTGACCATATCTTTCTTGATTTTTCAGATGAAGTTTCTGACAAGCATCAATATTGAAGTAAGTTCTTTTTTGTCTCCTTCCTATTAAATAATTTTAAGTAAAAATCAACATGTACTAAATTGAAATAAGTAGAAACTGAGCATTGTTCTAATGCCAATTCTAACTTTGAGACTTCTGCATCATTTTTCATAGGATGCTGTAGGTCAAATAGTTTCAGTTTATTCCTTTCAGTTATTGAAACAATTGAGTAAATTGATTTCTTTCCTCTGATAAATGAAACCTCAGATAAATGCTTCTTTTTTTGCCAAATTATCCTTTACCCATTTCCTTGCCAGAACTTTTTCTTCTAAAATCCAAAACTTCAATTGTCACTGTAAAATTTAAATAAGTACAATTTTAAGTTTGTTAATGAAAAACAGTTCTACATTTTGCTAGGTAGATGATTGCTGCACAGTGTAAACATTAAAACCTTGTGTGTACCCTGGGAGCATCACTGCAGATTTTAGGTAATGAGCTCCTTTCAGATGATCTGTAGGTAAGAGACATCAGTCTAGCAAAGTGATGTGACCCCTTGTCCTATAAGTCAGTGTGGGTGTCTTGTGCCAGGAGGCAGTGCATTTCGTTAGTTCTCTCCTACATATTGTGGGAGCTCTAAAATGCAATAGAACTACTCCACAAGAGAGGCCCTACTACTCCAACTCAGAAAACAGCTCTGGGCCTCAGCTATGTTTAATTTATTGTACTGGCTGATCTGACCTGTGGAATCAGTGCAGACAGGTAACTGTGAGAAATATTCTTGAGAGCAATTGACTTTTGGAAACTTCTACTAGAATTAGAGCTTCTCCTACAGAAGTGCTACAGGAGTGCATTTTAGTCATTCCTACTTAGCTTGTAGGAGCCACTTTCCCCAATTCAAATATGCAAAGGTAGGATTTCCCCCAGAGATGCCAAGGGAAAGAAGATGGAAGAATCTGGAGTGCTAGCCTGGTGCTGCAGGGGGCTGCAGGGTCCCTCTCCTTTTTGAACACTAAGATCTTGTCTTAAAATGATTCCTCAATGAATGTGAAGGGGTTTTTGCTGCAAAAGTAGGACAATATTTGGCAGCTGTGGCAGTGTTAGGACCATTGAAGGACATCTTTGGCATCAAATGTGTGAAAGAAAGGAGGAAAGATAAGAGCCCTTGAGTGACAGGATGGGTAAGAAAATAATGAAAAGGTTTTTCTGGTACAGCAGCCTAGTTTGTCTGTCAAGTATAGCAGCACTAACAAGAGAAATTCTTACAACCTTTCCTCTGAAGCTGAAACCTGTTACTTTGACTGCATCATCACAACAAATTAGTGACAAATTAGTGACTACAAATGTAAAATCTTCTTTTTCAAGCCATTTAGTCATTGTTATCTGACACTATTATAAGGACCTCAAAAAGCCACAGTTAACAAACTCTTCATAAGAATTACCAAACAATCCACAGGACCTCTGCAGGACTGACATTTTCCACATGTTTATTGTAGTAAAGGGCACAAAAATCCTTGTAAATGTATTACCACCTGCTCACAGATCATTAGGAAGGAGAAAAGCTTTCTCCTGCAACAGAGCGTCAATATCCTCTGTCAGGATTTTGGACCCTTTACACTAAGAGCAAAATCAATATTGTGTACAACAATGGAAATAAAAATAGAAGCATCAGGGCTCTGATCTATAGTTTGCAAGAGAAATTGTTTTACATTAATACCTGTATAACAGGAGGTATACTTGAACAATTACTTAATATGGGCATTGTAAATAGTTGACCTACCTATTGGGAGAATTAAAATTATTTACTAAAGTTACTTATTTTCATAAACATTCATTTCAATTTTGTTTTTATAGCTGAAATTTTGGACTGCCTTTAAATTTCTTTTGTTTCAAACCAAACTGTATCCAGGTAAAAGCTTAATCTGCTTTACTATGATGTTTTACCTTAAGCTTTTGCTGCTCAGAGTGCTTTTTCAGAGTGTCATTCCAGTTCAGCTAACGCTATATACTTATTGTATCCTCTCCTGTGCAACATTTGTGCCTCTCAGGTGAGTCACTGATAACAGAGGTTGAGCCTGGTGCCTCTGTAACTTCATGTATGAGCTATTCCTGGAGTTAGAACTCTCAGTGGAACTAGACCTAGTGTGTGCTAGTGCAGAGTACATGTGATTTATGTGGAAATGGTTTAAAATATGTACTTACGTGATAGAAAAGTTGATAAATTTACAGAGAAAATCCTTTTCTAGCTACTCTTTTTATTTTCATCAGGATACTGCTTGGATCACTGGATGTGATTTCCTGCCTAATCTGAAATATATCGTGGCTGTAACTGAAAGCACAGTCATTCTCTGGGACTATAAATCAAAAGAGAGCGAGGTATTGTGTTGGATCAGACAAATGCCAAAATGAAACCTGAAAGTTGATCAGTCTTTGCTTCTGATATACAGTCACATCCCTTTGGTCTTAGAGGATGAAGACTTTTCACTTTTCTTATTGTAGGAACTCACTGAAACAGTGGAATTCACACTAAAGGAGGGATACTCTCTACATGCCAAATGGGATTGTTAAAGTATATTAAAAGCTTGGAAGTAAAAGAAAAATTTTACTCTATGGTGCAAACAAACCCCCAAAGAATTTCTTTTCCATGTGTATCTAGTGCATATATGTGCACCTAAAATGTGTGCATGGGCATACATATATCTCAGAATCTATTAAGAATCAAGGAAGAGGTTTTACAAGGAATATAGCAAAGATTCTTTTGAGGTAACTTCCTGATTTAAGGAATATATTTCTTCATATCCTGTGTTTTGTTCAGGACTTTCTAAGATAAAAAACATTTTGATGTTAATAATGTTTGTCCAAATTGTTAAAGTTTTCTTTAATGTCTTAGGCATTTTTGCTGACACATATCTTAGCTTTCTCTTCCTGTTCTTGGAACTTCTCTTGGAAATTCTAAGTTAGCTGAGATGATGAGGAGAAGCAAAGTAATTATTTTTTGAATATGACTTTTTAGGATTTTTTTCCAATATTAAAAGGTTTTGCTTCCCAAGCTCAGATAGGTCAATTTAAGTCTTTTTGTCAATCCAATTGGACTTCTTGGAAGAGGGCTCAAATATTTATTCTCCACCTATTATTCTCCAAATTCCCTCATTACCTGCAGTGAGGGCTGCAGGTATCCTGTTGATGAATAGGTGCAGCTCTCTTTCAAGACCACAGAAATAATATATGGACAGTCCTATCTTTATTACATCTATTACATCTCCAATGTTTGTGTGCTACGCAGACAGCATTGATGCAGTTCATTCCTATGGCATGTGAACAGTTCCAGTTTAGGTTGGCAAGGATGATTTAACCAAATAACAGATGGAGTTGGGCAATAGAATCAATAAACAATGTAATGCAGGTGACCCTGAATCCCATTCCTGGGCCTTCTAGCAACATACCACAGTGTCTTGCAACTGTATTCATTCCCACTATCTCTGTGTTTCAAAAATTGAATCACCTACCCATATTAGTACACTTTACACTCCCAGTCTGCATTATTAATTAGGACTCTGGTATAGATTCTTCCTGTGTATTACTGCTGTATTTTATGGTTGGAATTATTCTTTAATTTGGTTATTTCAAATTGTCTTGTAGAGATCATCGTAGTTTTGAACAGGAAACCATAAACAGTCTTAGCAAATAAACCATCCCACGCTATATGCAGAGATCCTTCCTAGAATTTGTAATTATTACTTTTTCACTGAAACACAAAAAGCTACCTCTGAAACAAAATCTTGCTTAAACCTCTAGGATTTGCTTTTAACTCCTCTTCATGATGGTCTTCCATGAGTTTCTGATACCAGGAAGCAGCACAGGGGCAGCCTAAAAAAAAACAATGTCAAGATTTGAATGCTGATGTAGCTAGATAAGCATGATAGATTCAATTTAAGGGCCCTCATGCAATGTCTAATAAACTCTCTATACCACATTTCACAGGGTAATGGCTTTGTCATCAAACCAATGAAAAACTGCCTGCTCTGTGTTTCTACGGTGACTATGGAAGATAACCTGCCTAGGGATACTATCTTACTGGGAGATGATAAGGGTTATGTTTATCTGCTTACTATCACCACTGATGACTTCATAATGAAGCAAACTAAAGGTGGAAAAGTATCACAATTTAAAGTCATGGATGCTGAATCTTTTGACATGTAAGTTGCTTATGATAAAATGTTGTTAGTCTTGCATTATGTTTTGTTTTTAATTTGGAATTTGTTTGCCCTAAGTGAAGGGTTAGCTTCTGTTTCTAAATTAAGCCCATGTAAGTAAAGAAAATAATTTTTCAAACTGCAGGAAGTATGATTTGCTTGTTGTTGCATGAAAGAAGTGCCATCATTTTCAGTAGAAGATTTTATAAGAGATCTTACAGCTGAGAGGATGCAGAATACAATTCAAGGGGAGAATTCACAATTGCTGTTATCCTGTTTGGCAAAGGAACAGCTTTATTGTGCCCGATGAGATGGAAGCGTGATTGTGATTGGAAAAGAGCATGGTTCAACCCCGACCTTCTCCCTGCTTGCTTTTGAGTTGGAAGAGTGGTTCTGTGTCTGCCCTGGATATTAGCTGTTAGCACTGGTTGTGTGTATAATCTCCTTGGCAAAACCCCTGTCCACCTACAGACACATCACAGTAGTTGCTGCTGCAGCCTAATGGCTTCTCCATTTATATCCCTAGGCCTAGACGCAAGCTGCATGATGACTGGGTCGGGAAGGTTAAGTATTTTCCTGCCCTAAAACGTTTTGGATCCTGCTCCACAGACGGTATTAATTCATTTGTTTTAGATGACATAAAGCGACTAGAGGACCACTTGTAAGTATCTGACATCCTCTAGAAAACCATAGATCTTCTCCTTTATAACTGCTGGAGATCAGTGCCTCGTGAGATGTCATCTTGTTATATTGAATCTGCCTTTTCTATTAGCATTGCTAGAAAAACCAAAAATACAGTTGTTTAAATGCTTGGATATTTTTTGTGCTAGTTTTGATGTAGGAGAGGACTGTCCATATATGTTCAGTACTCAGAACCCTTAAAATATGTTGACAGTGTTTTCTCCTCAGCAAGCAAATTTTAGTCAGAAAAATGATTGGTTTCTTGCACATATATCATGTATCCATTCGTTTAAAATTTATACCCAGTCAAAAATAAACCCTACTAAATTTCATTTACAGTTTTATTTTCACAAGTTTGAGTTATACAAGATTAAACCAAGAACACAATTTATTCTAAGGGCTGTGAAGTGGTTCTACTATGCAGCTCAAAGAGGTTATCGTCTCCTTATTTGGGCCAAGTCCAAATTCATATGGCTCATCAGTGCTATTAGCTGATTTAACTGATTCCAAGCCTAATTAGTCTGTGAGTTTAGAGAATTTCATAGAACAACTAAATAATACAAATTCAGTTTGTTGTAAGAAGGACCTATAAATAATATATAAATAGAACTTTTCATTCAAATGTTTCAAAAGATTGTAAATATTAGATCAGCTTCTCAGTTCCTCTGTGAGGTACATCCAGAGAGATTAATAGATTTTTTAAGGCTAGTAGCCACAGTTATTATAATCTGGTTTATTTCTTGTATAACACATGCCATAAATAATCTTGTTTTTATTCTTGAATGAATACAGTAACTTTGGGTTTTATGAGTATTGCATGTCTGTTGAGGATGGGGAAATGAACTATGAAACACTTTTAGATTGTCCAAGGTCACATACTGTGTCAGTTGAAAAGCTGAGAATTAGTTAGAGAGAAAGAATAGAATTAGTTAGAGAGAAAGAAAAGCAAGTCTGCAGAGCGAAAAGTCTAGTCAAAAGAGTATATGCTACCATCATGTACTTCAAAACAGAACATAAACTGCAACTATATTGGTAGTTCTTTTTCATTTCACACTGGCTATAGTTGCATCTCAAAATGCAATAAATACATATCTCTAAGCAGTTTCTCACAGTAGATAGCTGACATTATATTTAGACAACTGAAAAATTACACAGCTGTTAAAATGAAATTAATAGTCCTAAAAGTATCTATAGATCAAATCACTTGGAAATGTCCATTTATTAACTAGCTAGTTTAGAAACGTGATTTACTGGTTCTAAGAAAAGAAATTTCCCCAATTAACTTTGTAGCAAGGAATTCTTTTATACTCCCAGGAAGGATGCAATGCATCTTCTCTCTTATAGGACTTAAGTTTCTTGACAATAATGGCTGATGAACAGCTACAATATCTTCTTGTAACGTATCTAAAAAAGAGAGGTATGGAGATATCAACAAGGTGCTTCTATTGCAAGGCCATGGCTTGAGCAGGACTTCACAGTGCCAGAATCCCTTTTTCCTATTGATCTTGAAATAGTATCAAGACTGTCCATTAAAAAGCTTTATAGAAGTATAAAAAGTGAAAAATCCTTAGGAAATCTGTTAGTCATACATTTAAATAAATTAATTGTTATTTTGTCCTGTCAAGAGAATTAAGACTTCTCTGTTAGAGTTCTGGAAAGAAATATTTTCTCCCTCTAAATAATAGGAAGCAAACAGCCTTTTATTTACGCTTGCCTAGAAATAACAAGTTCTTTCATTAATTCCTCAAAGTTTCCAGAGTCTTTTGTCAGATTTACTGCCATCCCCATTTATGGTTTTCAATATCAATGACTGCTTTAGTCTAGAGTAGATGAACTAATACTTGTCTGAATTTCAAAGGAAAAAGTTTAAAGTATTCTCATTTAGTTCTGTACAGCCTATTTACAGTGGCAGTCATTGTTTCCTGGAAATGGCAGGTGTTAACCCTGCTATAGCTACATCCAGAATCAATAAAATATTCACTCATTAGTAGCAATGGATGAAGCTTGGAGAGACAAGCAGAAGTTGCTCAAAGGATAAGTTTAGAATCAGTCAAGTTCAGTGTGTGTTGGCTGTTTGAATTCCCATGATTTAGCAGTGAATGTAGCAGAATAACATTTGAGCTTCAGATACTCATGATCTCTTCATGTTGACATGCAACACAAAATAGATCATGTAAGGACTATTCATTGTACAGTACATTATAGAGAAGCAAGAGAAAAGTAACTGCACTTACTTAATGTAACATTGAGATCACAATAGACCTCCATGTCTGAAACAAGCAAACACAATTTCTTTGGTAGTTTTTCTCAGTGATAAACTGCTTTAAGCACACAAGCTTGTGTGCAGCCTCCTTTGGCAACAGCTGTCATTTTAGGAGTCTGTTTGGAGTTTGCCTGTTAAAAAATTCAGGTGTGCAGATCAAATATTTATTTCTTTAATGGACAGTGTACTCTGTTCCCGTTTTGTTGATGCCACTATCACTCTAAGTCTCTAATGTAAATCAATTTGCTTTTAACATGAGATTGCATACATTATGCAAACAGCTATTTTGTATAAAACAGAAAAATAAGGCAGAATGACTATAGACTGTATTTTCCAATTATTTCTTACATGACTGTTTTATTAATGATTGCAGACCTGTAAAGGAATTTTCTGTCCCGAAAGGAGTAAATGCCTTCACATACTGTGGAAAGGCAAAAGTCATTGTCACTGGAGGTAAGTATTGGGTCTCTTCCAAGAGATTGTTCTTGGGAAAAAATTGTGAATTTTTTTATTCACATTAAATAACATCAAATAAAGCTGAGTTAGCATCTTCAGAATTTCAGCAATGGCTTCTGCCTACAATTAGAGGAAACAGAGGCCTTGCTTTTGATTTCTCTCAGCCCTTGTCTGAAGATATATACTTTCTAACAGGAATGTGTCAAGGGCTCCATCTGGGTTTGATTAAAGTATCATTTATGTAATAAATCAGAAGAAACAGTATGTTCAACTACTGCAAGGTATGTTTCCAAGTCACCGTGGCCTCAACCAGGTTATGGACATTATTCCTTGCAGTATCGGCAGAGCTCCCACCCTATTACTCTTCTGCCATCCTTTCATATCTTAAGCAGTCACATTGGCCCATCTTAATACTTTCCACTGGTCTCTCTGGTCATGTTTCCCCAGAGTGTTAGTTCTTTCTCCCAAAGCAGACTGCGGAAATGGCACTCTTACATCCACTTCTTCCCTGTTAGCCAATAATTTTATGGGCCTGTCTACTGCTGTGGTCATGTTTGATGCTGCAGAAGTGCTGCTGGAGTATGGCAGCAACCTTGTTTATAAAGTCTGTCTGATAGGGTGGTGCCCTTGAGTGACATTGATGCTGCTTTTCTTCAAGTCTTTATTGTTAAAACTTTGTTAAAAATTGCAATAGCAAACGTAATAATTCTTACATCTATGTATAAAAAAAAAATTAAAAATGGCCAAGACTCTGCTGTCCAGCCTTGATAATATATATAGCAGTATATGGGACAAAACGCACTTCATGTTGAATTGTAACCGTTTACCAAGAGGAAAACTGTGAAAGATATCAAAATAAATATCAGACATCTTGTGTGTATTTTCTACACACAAGATTTAAAGGAAAAGCTGTAGAAGAGTTATTAGTGAAAATTTTGAAGTTTAGACCTGGAGGAGATACTGTTTACACTAATTACCTTGTTGCAAAAAAAAAAAAATAGTCTGAAGAAATTTATTGATGACATAAAGTAGGGATGTCCTATTCAACAAAATGTGGTCACTATTTTCAACAGGTACAAGAGGAGGATTTTGCTGTAATAATAAAACCAGGGTAAAGTGTCTGAATAGGAAAGAATGTCACAGTAACTAGAAAAAATTTATTTTACACACTGAAAATTCTTCTTCCAGAAATAGCAGAATAGAAAAATCTGGATAAACTTTATAGGAAAATTATAACAGCTGCGTTAGGCCGGACCAAAGATCTGCCTAATGCACTCAGCCCACCTAGTCAGTGACCAGCAGTAAACACTTGAGGCACAGAAAAGAAATAGAACAATCATGCAGCATGACTTGCCCTAGGTGCATGTGCTGGTTCTGTCTTGCTGATATGAACCACATTTGAGAAAGATTAGTTGAATACAGAAAAGTATATAGAATATAGAAAAAAAGGTGTGGGAAAGGACCCATAACAATCATCAGGTCCAACTCTTATATGAATGGCCCATAAAGTGATTGAACTCACAATCTTGGTGTTTATAGCAGCAGGCTCTAACCAACTGACCTAAGTTCTAACTGCACCATTGTGCAGAGATTTAAAAAGTCTATTTTCTATAACTTAGAAAAAGTACAGTTAACAAGGAATGCCACTGATGTCTATTAGAGCAAAAATTAGAGTGATGATATTCAGGAAGAGTCTTCTGAATAGTGGCAGTTGCAGAAAAATATTCTCAGTTTTAAAAGGAGCTTGGATTTTTTAAAAAGTTAGATTGCATACTTGTTTGTGATGGTTGGAGGACAGACTTAGAATGCAGATGCTCCTATCCCATCTAAACAGATCCCTAATCAGGATATTTTAGAAGCAGGTGAGTTTTCTCAGCACTGAATTCTAATTTGTTTTGACTTTGACTGCACAAAAGTACTGAAAGTACTGGAGTTGGAATCCTGTCTTGCTTGTTCACCCACCATACTTCATCTTGTAATTAAAGGGCATCCTCCTGCCTCTCACCCTCATTCCCAAAGGTTAGCCCTGCTGCTCCCCTTGAACAGGAAAGGAAATTATTCCTGAGCTGTATTACTAAGAGTCCCAGAGCACAGTGGGAATGCCTGTCCAAAAGCAAAGACAGGGTAGGGTCATCTCTTTCAATTTCACAGTGAAGTTAGATCAGTCAGGGCCTACTGTGAAGCTGCACCCAGAATTTAGAATAATGCTACAGGTCTTAAGAGACCCTTCTACTAAAGCCTTCTAAAGCTGAGCTTTGGAGTTCTGTGCTCTGTTAGTAGAATACACTGCTCCCAGTGGCACAGCATACCATCGGGCTGGAGCACACTGTGTTTGCCTCTGTATCTTAAAAGTCATCTCACTCTTTACTAATTGAGAAACACACAATGATGATCCAATTAATGACAGATTTAAATTATTTAAAATGAACATAAGCTAGTCCTGTTAATTACGGAGTCTGCAGTTTTACCTATAATATACCCTAAAAATGAGAGACCATAACAGGTAAATAACTCAGGAATCATAATATATAGATTTCTTGGTGACATGTTCAAACATTTGTAAAAGCTATGTTTATTTGTCTCATTTGGCAATTAACATAAAAGAAAAATCCAGCCTTTGATTGCAGGCTAGCTTCTAAAGTATTCAGCAGGGGTAAATCTGCTCAGCATTTTAGTAAGCTCTTCTTAATGTTATTTAGGCAGGTGTTTATAGCACAAATGGAATATTACATTCTGTGATGAATATCACTGTGACTATTTAAAAAGTCATATTTTAACACATTCTTCCATCATTTATTTGTATTTGATTGTGCTCATGAGTTTGTCAGTACTGTGACACAACCTAATTTTGTCTTCTAGATATTTGAAATATATAAAAATGAATAAGATAAAAACAATCCTGGTACTGAGTTTGCTTTTCGTGCTTAAGGCTAGATTTCAATCAGTAAAATGATAAAAGCGTGATAGCAGCCTAAAATATGGAGCCCAGAGAAGTTTAAAATAATTTCTCTGTGTGGCATTTTCCATTAATATTACACTGAATGGTAAGTTTATATGGTTTTCTTTTTATTCTGTCTTAATTTCAATTCCAGCTATGTCTTAATCATCACTTCAGGGAATGACTGCAGTTAAAATCAAATCAGGAATGCATATAAAAGCAGGAGATGATCAGTTTTAAATGATACATCAACTTCTAACTCTATTAGTTCTTCAAGTTGGGCTGTTTTCCTGCGAGCAATGAACCAGAAGAAAAACTATTAGTAATTTCTAAATCTAACAATAACAGATTAGGACTGATAAAAGGAGCTACTCTGTGCTTGTTCAGTTTCCTTTGTGAGTTCCAGGAACAAGGGAAGCACATTTTCAGGAATTCCCAGGAATCCCAGTGATAGAAATCACCAGAAGTCCTCTAGAATTAGCTGTCAGAAGCGTAGCAAACTCTTTTCTATGATGCCATCTAAATTTAAGAAGAGCATACAAAGACGGACAAGGAAGCACAAAGAAAAAAAACTAAAACAGACATTTGTCAGTATGACAAACTAGTTCCCCAGGTGTCTGACTGTTCTGAAGAGGTTTTGCAGACATTATAAGGCAAGATAATTCATAAGACATATTTGAAGGAAAGACAAGTTCTTTTAAAGAGTAAGGAGTTTTCTGTGTGGGCGTAGCAGCCTAGAAAGAAATCAGGAGGTATATTTTTTTTACTGTCTTTTGAGGATGCCAGGCTAAGCCTAGTATTTCTCCATGCAAATGTATTATTGTTCTCAAGTGGGTTTCAACACCACTGGAAGGCAGACATCTCAGCAGGCTTGTAATACCACACAAATTGCAAAACTGTGTCAGCAAGAGAGACAGACAAAGCTTTGCATTTTCAAAGAAAGTATTTGAGTCCATAACATCTAGCTAGAATAGAGCTTTGGTTGTAGAATCTAACTTCCCCAAAAAAAACCCTAAACATCTGGTTTTATAATTGTTTATCGTGAAAAGGACCATACTGAATCTGTTTTGATTCAAATCACTGATTTCACAAAATCTTTTAAAATTGCTGTTGAATAGATCATCTTCTTCAAGCTTTTCTTGAATGTGCTTGGTACCCAGACTTTCTGTGTCAGGATTCTGAATCCTGGAGGCATATTTGGAGCATGGGGAGGGGAAATGTTCCAGGGTAGCAGTGAATCTTAGGGCCAATCTGGCATTAGTCCAGAAAGAGAGCAGAGAGCACATCAACTATAATAAAATCTTCCATTATCTCCATATCAGTAAAATGAATCCACTATTTTTACATAAAAAGCAAACAGTATTTTTTAGTGTAGGGAAGGGTTTTCTTCCCAAATGTCGCTTATCTTCCTGTTAATATCTGAAGTAAATTACATGTATTAGTGATTCTACTCTTTTAAGAAACTCTGCCAGAATTAAAGGGAACTATCTTCCTCTTCAATCACTGCTGTCACTTCAGGAATATAAAGAACAGAGCTGTTAGGATGACTGAGAAAGGTTCTGTTCCTCAAAAGTGCAGTCAGCAGGTAGTCAAGTTGATCAGATATTGTCAACAGCTTCTTCTCAGTTCTCCATTGTCTTAAGACATGACAGTTCCTATCTGGGGCTGGTAAGGGGTGTATTGTTGAAGCAATGTCTGTTCCCTCTGATATTAAAACCAATCTCACCAGTCTCACTGGAGGCTTCTGTCAACTGTATTTCATGTACTTCTTCATGGGAGGTCTGAAAACTGAGTTTTACTCCCATGGACTTGTATCACCCTAAACCCTGACCTGGTCACAAGGGTTCTGCTGGTTTGCAGGACATGTCTGGGACAGCCTGACACAAGAGTTTGAAAGAAGTGAGCAGGGATGTTGGCCACATTCTGAAGTTTCCCCATCCAAAAGGACTTCATAAACCATTTGTGCAGTTATAACCTATTTAGGCTACTTCCTGCCATGCTTACAGCAAATACAGATTGCCTAGGGTAGTTTTGCCTAAAAAAGAATTACTTATCCTTGAAGTTGCGAGACAGTCAGGTACCTACTCCTGGCCTTCCTTTCCTTTGCAGAAGTTGTCCCTCCATTGTGCTGGTACAGCTGTTTGCATAGTTGAATTCTCAGTCACACTTGTGAAATGAGCTGGCATAAATCAAAATGGCTTTCTGTTGTAGCTATTTTAAGAGTAGATCATTCCTTCAGTGAGCCTCTCTCATTTAGAAAGAAGCCACATAAACAGCAGAATCAATTTAACTGAGAGAACAATATTGTTGAATGGAGGAGAAGGGAGATGAGGTGCCCCTAAACAAATCACATCTTGCTGCATTAAGAAGGGAAGGAATAGATTTCTGTAGAGAGAAATTGAGGGACTGACTAATGACAGTAGGTTGAACAAGCTTAAGGAAGATTATTAACATAATTGAGCTGAGCGCTTAACATAATTGAGCTGGTTCTCTTGGGACATATACTTCCTAGTCTATGGGTTTTTTTGCTTTTTGCTCTTCAATTTCAGCTGAGAGAAAAGTGGAACTCAAGCAGAAGTTTAGACAAAATGTGGCTGTTTAATTTATTGTGTGTCAAAATAAACTGTTCAGCTAGATGCATACAATTCATACAATTGCAATATTTGGCAGGAATTGAAAGTTAAAATACATTTTCAACATCCTTGTGTTTTGAAATATTTATGGAAACTATTAGAAAATAGTACCAAGCATTCACCTATAACACAATCAAAGATTATTCCTTAAATTGTAGGCAAATTCAAGATCTGAACACACAAATAAGTCTTAAATACCTAATTCTTGTTTACTTTACTACAAACTCAATCATCAGCGGTCACTTTTTTCTGTCTGCCCTCAAATTTCATGCCCACTTCTTTCTGGATGTTCACCTTCATTCATAAAGGAAATTATTCCTTTTTGTCCTGTTGTATTTTTGTTAAAGTAGTCTGCTCCTCTGGGACTAGTCCACATAGTCTCATTCACTGTCCCTGCCATTCCTTTAGCAAAATAAAATGGCATTGAAAAGCCAATCAGTTGTGCATTTTTAATATGTGTTTGTGGTTAAGCAGTGAAACATCAGCTGCAATCCAGCCCTTAGAATGAAAAATTCACATCCTTATGTGGGAGTAGTCTACCCAACTGAAAGGATGGACTTATGAACACTAAGCTTTCTCAATTACAAATCTTATTTTTAATACAAGTTACTATTCAGTCTTTCTGACTATATATTAATTTATTTTCTTTCAGGTAATGACAGAATCCTTCGTTTGTGGAATCCTGTTGTTAATTTTAGTCCTACAGGGAAGCTATTTGGACACAAACATGGTATTGTGGAAATTGTGACAAATGAGAAAGATCAACATGTCATCAGCCTCTCCTGTGCAAAGGTAAAACACTTTTCTGAACCTCAAGGAAGCAGGGCTGGAAGAAGGATCCAGAGAAGGCCTGTCAGCCTAACCTCAGTGCCCCACAAAGTTATGAAACAGAAGATCTGGAGCAATCACACATATACAGGAGAGCAAAGGGATTAGGCCCAGCCAGCACAGGTTTAGGAAAGGCACATCCTCCCTGACTAACCTGGTCTCCATTTATGAGCAGGTGACCCACCTGAGGGTAAGGCTGTGGTTGTTGTCTGCCTGGACTTCAGCAAAGTCTTTGGGACTGTCTCCCATGGCATTCTCCTGGAAAAGCTGTCAGCCTACAGCTTGCACAGTGCACCTTTGCTGCGTTAAGAACTGGTTGTATGGCCAGGCCCAGAGAGTGGTGGTGAACAGTGCCACATCCCGTTGGGGACCAGTCTCTAGAGGTGACCCCAGGGTTTAGTGTTGGGTCTAGACCTGTTCAATATCCCTATTGATGGTCAGGATGAGGGCACCAAGTGCACCCTTAGTAAATTCACAGACATCACCAAGTCGGGGGAGCGTTGATCTGCTGGAGGGGAGGAGGGCTCTGCAGAGGGGTCTGAAGAGGCTGGATTATGGACCAAGGCCAGCAGTATGAGGTTCAATAAGACCAAGTGTCAGGTCCTGCACTTCAGTCACAACAAACCCAGGCGGCATTACATGCTTGGGAAAGAGTGGCTGAAAACTGCCCAGCACAAAAGGACCTGGGGTTACTGGTCAACAGTGGCTGAACTCGAGCTGGGAATGTGCTGACGTGGCCAAGAAGGCCAGTGGCATCCTGACATGGATCAGCAAGACTAGGGTAGTGATTGTCCCCCTGTACTCAGCACTGGTGAGGCCACACCTCAAATCCTGTGTTCAGTGTTGGGCCCCTCACTTTAGGAAGGGCATTGAGGTGTTGGAGCATGTCCAGAGAAGGGCAGTGGTGCTGGTGAAGGGTCTGGAGTGCAAGTCCTATGAGGAGCAGCTGAGAGTGCTGGGGGCGTTTAGCCTGGAATAAAAAGGAGGCTGAGGGGAAACCTTATCACTCTCTACTGGTGCCTGAAAGGATGCTGTAGTCAGGTGGGGATCAGTCAGCCTCTTCTTCCAGGCAACTAGAAATAGGACAAGAGGAAGTGGCCTTACACTGTGCCAGGGGAGGTTTAGGTTTAATATCAGGAAGAATTATCCACAGAAAGGGTTGGTAAACATTGGAATGGGTTGCCCCAGGAGGTGGTGGAATCACCATCACTGGAAGTGGTAAGAAACAACTGGACATGTCACTTAATGCCACGATCTGATTGACAAGGCAGTGCTTGCTCAGAGGCTGGACTTGGTGATCTTGGAGGTCTTTCCAACCTAAATGACTCTGTGAAATCAATGTTATAAATTGAAGTAGGAATCTGGTTTTGAGTAAGTACTTCTGATAGTAATTAGTTATCACTTTATTTATTTTAATAAAAAGGCTTAGCTTAAAATTTCCAAAATATTTTATGTTGAGAAACAAGACTAGAGTGCTATTTGACATATTATCTTCACAAATGTGACAAAAGAATGCTTACAATAGTAGATATTAATTCTGATAATTTCTGTATTACTTTAGCAACTGGCAGATTTAAAACAGAACCTGTAATTAAGTGCTTCATTCAGTAGTGATCACCTGCAAAAATTTCCTACAGTTCTTTTGCACTTCTCTCTTCCTCCCAGCCTCCTAAATCCATAGGTGGTGTTTTTCTGGTGACTCTATATATCATGTTCAACTATTGATCTCTTTCTAACCAGTGTCTTTTACAAGGCTTACTGTTCCAAAGCAATGACCATAAACAGGAATGCTAATAAAATCAATAATAGCACTTGTTCCACCAAATATTGCAAGACTCTACTGGTAAGAGATGGGTATACGAGAAGTGATTGGTGGAATCCTTGTGTTGGTTATTTATATGATTTGTCAAAATGAGACTTGTCAGGAGATAATAAAAACTGTATGTGCAAACATAAGAGAGAAGTCCCTGAAGGAGTAGTTTTGAATGGCTATAGAACTCTTTCAATGTGGTCCAATGAAATATTTTCGATATTTAACACTATTCAATATCCTTATTAAAATCTACAAGGATGGAGTGGAGAGGATAGGTACTAAATTAACCAGTTATACCAGACTGGTTAAAGCTGCAGGCCTTGAGCAGTAGTAGAGTTTAGAATGGTCATTGAAATTGAAGGTATGATTATGGAAAATAGCTCCTATAAATCAATGAGGACCTAATGTAATTAGTCTGCTAAGGTATCCTTCTGTCTCAAAGGTTTCCAGATTTTTATTGAGTTATGTAAGAAATATTGCTGAACTATTTGTCCTGCCTGTGCCACTCCTCTCTATAATTGCTTACTATTGCTCATTGTGGTGACAGTAAATACCTCATTTTCACTTTTAAAATCTTATTCTTTAAAAACCCTGCTCATTTCTAAAATTAATACTAGCTGAAAATAAATTAACAAAATTTCCCATCTTCACATAATCCTGGAGCCATAACCCTTCCCCCTTCCTCATTTCTATATATCTATACTTGTCTGTTCTGTAGATACCTCTGTAGCTTTGCTACAGGAATACATTACTGTGAATTAAGGAGGGTTTAGGCAGATAGCCTCAAGTTATACATGTAGGAAAAATGAAGTAAGATGTGAGACATGACTTAAGAGGAATGAATGAGCATTAAGATACTTATGAAAAAGCACCTGAGAATAAAGCCCCTGGGGCAGTAAATGTACAAGATCTTCTGAGGGCCCTTCGGGGCTTTTCTATTATTCAATATGATGATTTATGAGAAAGCAAAATCTATTTTAAAAGTCTATAAGTATGTGGACATGTGATCCTAACTAAATATAGCTGAGTAGTGCCAATGACATCAGTAAGACCACTTGTAGCTGCAAATGAATATATGAAAGTTCGTTTTAATTAAAAGCCATGTGTGTTTAAATAGTGCAGTGAGTTATAAGGCTACAATTACACTTCTCAAAAAAAAAAATTAAAAAGAAATAGACATAAATTCCTAGACTTTCAAGTGTCAGATAAATTGTGTGGTCATAGTGAAAACTATATCAAAAAAGAAAGAATCCCTCACAGAGGAGTCTATATATTGACTATCAAATAAAGTGCTTATCACCCTGTACCACAAACATGCACTCTAAAGAAGATATATGGTATACTAAATAGCAGAAGGAGGTCAGCTATAACAGAATTTCTTCCAGCCTGCTTAAGGGCACATTTGTGTTTCACAGAACCAGAAATTATATAAAGGTGTGCAGCTTGTCAGGGAACTTATAATGATACTTTAGAATTTAATTTGTTTCCACCTAAAAAACAAAGACCAGCTTGCTTTTTAATCTGCCTAGCATAAAAAATCAAAATAGTTTTCTATGTTTTGTTTCCATCTTTCCGTGACTGTCATACAGGAAGCAAAGGAGAAGCAAAATAAGGACAGTCGATATATCTTTACTGAAAATAAGTTAGAGACATGTCAATGATCTCATAGAAGCATTGAATCAAAACAAAATCTCTTTATATAGATTTTACAATAAATGTTTGACCAAATAACAGAACTAGAGGAAAAGCTTAGGAAAATTAAATTAACATTTTTTCAAAACATGCCCAAAATTGAATTTAACCTAAACCATATCCATATTAAAATAAAAGGGTTTTTATTGTGCCACTTTCAACTAAAGTTGCAAAATAAGGTGAAAAGTTGGGAGTAATTTTTTTAATTAAGATCTGCAGTTGTTATGTTTGTTACATAATTGTTACATTTGAAGATTCAGACTGATGTTAAACTTATTACTATTTTTCTTGAACTGTATTGAAAAGTTCCTTGTCATTGTACAGATACTTTTGTGCAATGTGAAATGTTCTCACAAGAATGTCTCTGCAGCCTGCATGCAACTGATTTATACTATGGAGTTCAGTGTAAGGGATCCACCTTGGCTTTGGTTTCAGATTTGTGCTGCAGCAATGCATTGCGATCTAAAGAAGTATTGGCTGAATTAAAGGCTCAAAACCTGCAGTGAACGATTTAAAGATACCACAAATCTTACAGATCTATTGCAAGAGTACTGGGGGATTTATTTAGTGTTAATAACCCTAGCTTCATACTATAGAACACAAATATATATATTGTGGTTTATACAAAGAAGTAAAAGTTAACTATTCTGAAACTGTGGTTTCACAGCACTAGTGAAAAAGATGGAGATCATAGGAGATTTGTATTATAGTGGAAGAGCTAGTTTAGAAGATTCTTAACTCTAACAGTCTGAACATACCAGAGCATGAAAAAGAGAGTAGATCCCAGGAGAAGGGAAGAGAGGCATCACTGTCTTAACTTTGTGAGGTAGATTCCAAAAGTACAGATCACTCAGCAGGCCTTGGCTCTGTGCAAGCCCAGCTCAGCAATGACAAAAATCTCTCTATATTATCAGCCTATGTTCTGCACAAATCCAAAACACAGCCCCATACCAGCCACTGGGAAGAAAATTAACTCTACCCCAGATCAGTTCTGCTTTTTTGAGCAGAACAAACATCTGAGCAGTGCTGTCTTCTTCTTGGAGGAGACTTCTTGATTTACTCTCTGGCGTTTTGGGAAATATGCAATACAGCTTTCTGGAAAGCGTTAAAGAAACCTCTGTGATATTTAATCTAACTGAAAACAAGTTGTCCTGAGTCAGTAATAACAAAAAAATTGCCACAACAATTAAGGAACTATTTTAGAATTTGAATTCAAACAATCATTCTATTTAAGAAAATGAAGATTTCTTTAACTATTCCAGCACATAAGCATTTTGTTTGCTCCAAAATTATAAGGATTTCTTGATAGGACTAATTATTAGTAAAAAGTTGTCATGCAGCAATTAAAAATTTTCAAATTCTCCTGTGACAAAAATTCAATTTAGTTTTTTGGGTTTATAACATAAGAATTAGGCAGAGGCATTGAATTGTATATAATTTCTGTATGACTTTTAGTCAT